AAGTTTCTGAGAAATATCTGGATAACGTGAGAAGAGTGTGCGAGCCTCAGCAATTTTCCCTTTTTCACAAAAACGATCAAAAAATTCTTTGTGTGTATCACTCGTGTAAAAGTTATGCCAGTCAGACGTCCTTGAATAATTAATGTTGTCTTTGTCATAAACGAGACTGAATGATTCGAATTCAAAACGAAGACGTTCAATTTCTTTTAGTGTGTATTCATCTAAATTTTTTTATAAATTAATATAGTCATATTCTATTTAAAATATACCGGTAATTGTTAATCCTTTTGCAAACACCAAGATTTCATTAATGTGCGCGAAGCAGTTTAAAAAAGGTAGTGATGCTACGACCATATCGCCAGCCTTAAAACAAAAAAAAATAATTGAAAAAAATCTTCTAATACCGAATCATTATCAGAAATAAGCTTCAAATTCTTGATCATTTCAATAAAAGTAGCCTCTTCGTAGTTTCCATCTTCAGCATTTTGAATTTTTTCCTGGCACTGATGAATTATAGCTTCATATACCAACTAAAAATACGAATAAATGAATGTAAAGAAATTTAATTAAAATTAATACATCAACAGATAAATTGTAAGTAATTGCAAAAGAGAGTGCATCAGCAAAATACTTTAAATCTAGAAGTCTGTGTAATCGAGTAAGTGGTTGAGAATGATTGACAAAACGAAGAAAAACCATATCGCGACTTAAAATAAATGTTAAATTTTTTTATTTAATTGGAGCTTAATTACCTCTTTGCTGGACAAGCATCCACATAAACAATGCTACTATCATCATTTGGAGTCGAGTATGGAATCATCATTGTGTACTCAGAACAGATTTTACTAAATTGCACATCTTTTTGATTGACTTGGCGAATCATAAACTAAAATTAAATATTTTTTTATTTAAAGAGTGGGTTGAGATCAAAGCTTAAAACCCCCACAAATAATAGACAAAATTATGAATATGTGAAGGAATTATTTAGATGGACTCCAGAAAAATTCAAAAACAATCTGCATAAAAAAAGTACAGAGCATAGACAAGACCAAGCCTAATCTTAGTCAGTCAGATAAAAGCCGTTATTTTAAGATTAATTCGTTAAAATATAAAATATCCCCGTTATTGTCATACATTTAAAAATAAAAAGAAACCTCAACATCATTATTCTTCGTCAAAACTTTAAGTAAAAGCTTAACATCAGTCGCAAACTCGGAGAAATTTTCAACATCCAAAAACTCAAAATCCAAAACATTAACTATTTGTTCGTCTTGTAAAGCCAGAGTATAAAAAAGAAAGTAATTTTCATTGTAAAATTGAAGTTTATTTGAGATTAAAGCAACAACAAAACATCCAAAGTTTTTAACAATTTTGACTGGTTGCTTAATCTTGAAAAGTGATGAGAAACAAGCTACATCCTCCGGATAATTCTTAATTTCTTCCAAATGAATAGAAAGTGAAGTAACCATTCCTGGATCTCGTGGAAACTTTAAAAGAAAAATAAAATATTTTTAAACAACAAAATTTGTACCAAAACAAAATTATTTGTAGAAGAGACGAGAAAATGACATTTAAATTGAAAAGCAATTTCAATCGAACGGACCAACTCGACACCAGAGAAATTGTCACGAAATTCAAGCTCATCACGAATTGAATAGTCAAAAGCCGGAATTGATATGAAATGTAAAACTGATTTTTGACGATCCAGAATACAAGTAGAATAGCCATTTTGAGTTGAAACAGTGCATGTTGAGCAGCTTTCCAGGGGTGGGAAAACGGACTTTAAATTCAAAATAAATTTGCAATCATTACAAAAAACCTGTCTATGCGTGTAGCGATTGTTCGGTGACATAAAAAGAATTGTCCCTTTGCTTAACAAAACCATAAAAACATCTCGATCAGGTAAGAAACACACTTCAACAACATTACCATCCTCTTCTGTCAAAACGCTATGCTTTTCTTTCACTCCCTTCGAATGGTTAAGTCGGCCTTTAGAACTGTCCAAACAAAATTCAACACATCCAACCGAGAGATCAAAGACATGAAGATCAGAATCAATGCTCAAAACAAGCCTAAATATATAAAGGCGTAAAGCAGCTACTAAATAGAAAAGCTTACCAATTATTACGAGTAGCACAAAAAATTTTTGGAGAAACAAAGTCAGAACCCCTACCTTCACCTAAAACCAAAAAATAAGGGAAATAAATTTAGTTTAAAAATTATACTTTTAAGCACTTTGCCCGTAGACACTTCATAAGAACTCAAAGCTTGAGATAAATCCGTCCCGCTGTCTTGATAAATTGGCGGGATCTGGTCAACAACAACAAATTTGTTGCAACTCATTACAAAATAAAATATTTTTTTAATTAAAATAGAATACGTAAAGCTTTTCTGAAATAAAAAAATTTTTAGTCATTATTTTTACAAATAACTGTGAAAAAAACTTCTTTGTCCCAACGTTTATATAAGAAATATAACAAAGAAAATCAATAAAATTTTAAAATAAATTTGGGCGGCAAACATTATGCCAAATTTAAGTCAAAAAATTTTAATTCAAATTAAATTTACAATTTCAAAAAAATTTTACTTGAACTCTCGAATAAAAATTGTGATAAATTGTGATATTGTCTTCAATTGTGATATTGTCTTCATTACTATTTTCCAAGAGATGAGGAATGTGCAGACTAAAAAACAATCGTGATTTCGAAAAACGGGATACATATGTATGTGTATACCCCCCGATTCCCTGACACATAAGTTCCGTTTTGGACCAGAATTATGGTTTGTTTAATGTAAAAGGAATTCATGCTTTTAATTACAACCAAAACAAACATGTTGAAAAATTGCATTCTATTTAATTCCTAAGGCAATAGGCGGCTTGTTGTAATGGATTACACTCCAGTCCGGTCTAATGAAGAGTCCGGTCTACCATTCTTACTAGCTGAATCGAATGACAACAAAATCATCTCGATTTGATGATTCTGAACAAGTTACGACTAATATTTCTTTTTAATTATTTGGAAAGAAATATTTTTCAGTCAATAACTACCACTAATTCATTATCATCATTTGCTTCATCCAATACATCTACATAGAACAAATATTTTAAATATGCTGATAATCACTAATTTCCTCTTTTTTTCAATCACAAATCATTCCTTTTACAAAATTTAAATTACTCAAAATTTATCAATTAAAACAAAAAAAGAATTTGTGTTTTGATCAAATTTATTTTTTTAAATATTCCTTAATTTTTAATTTCTTTTTTTTCCATTTCTTAGACGATAATTTAAAGTTAAAAATTTAATTTAATTATTTTTAATTCTTTAGAATGTCAAAAATTTCCACAACAATAATAATTAGTAGAATCGGGACACGCCCAAAACGTCGCATGGCCAAAACAACGCAAAGCCATTGCTTGCTTCAAAATTTTCGAATCTTAACAAATTTAGTATTGAATGCTTTCTCTCATCGAGCTAAAGAGATTGGTAACAAAATTGATAAGGGTAAGAAATATGGGCTGTACCCAGAAGAAACCTCTGTCTTTTCCCTACAGGAAAGAAGGTCCTTTTTAAGACCAGACACGGATCAATCAAGATCCAATGTGTATTTTTATAACCTTCTGTTTACATTTTTTTAATTTAAAAAAGACAACATTTTTTCAAGTCCAAATTCCAATAAAAAAAGTTTAATTGAAAAAGACCAAGGAACATAAATAATAAAGAAAGAATTTAAAAAATTATTTTTAGAAAAACTACTTTATAAAATGTTGAAATATTTATTTTTTTGTTTAAATTAATCTTTTCTTGTATTTCAACAACCAACTGTTCCCCAATCATTAAATAATATATTTGTTCAACTTATAATTAAATGGAAAATATTAAAGCTAAGAAGATTTGCGGATTTTAAATTAAAAATTATTTTTAAAAATATTTTTATTTTATTTTCTTAGCCACTAATATCGTCAAATATTTAATTTTAAATTAAACTTTTATTAATTCTAGTCTAATAAAGGAGTTTGGCAAAAGTTTAAAACTAACCACCGGGCAGGGTTCGAACCTGAGACCTCCTGACAGTTATTGCTGGGGGCTTTCGCTCACCACATACAGGAGCTCTACCACTGAGCTATCGGGGCATCGACTACATTCTCTTTTATCCTCATTTAACCCCCGCTCTCTAATCATCCTTACAATAAATGATTTTTTAAAATTCTATTATTTTTCTAAATAATTCCTTTAAAAAATAAAATTTATCCGCAACTCAAAATCCGCAAAAATTAAAAAAGAAGCACATTCTTAAGTTAGTCATTAATCCTAAAGAAAAAAAAAGTAAAAGAATTAAACGTGAATATATATTTTAGAAAAAATGAGAGAGAAACCAAAAGAAAATTTTGGTGATTTTTTGATCAATTTTTCTATTAAAAAGAATTTAAAGGGATATAGCCAAACATTTTTTTATTTTTTAAAAATTCTTAAAATAAAATTAAAAAAATTTTTTTAATTAATCATGTTAATTAATTAATCATTTAAAGAAAAAAGGGAAAATTTAATTTCCTTGAATGTCCTATAAATTCTTTTATTTTAATTGAAATATTTTAAAATTATACATATAAAAATGCCGCTTTTTTTATTTAAAGAAATTTTTTTCTCTTATTAACAAAAAAAAGTTATTACCTAAATTAAAATTCTAGATAATTCTTATTTATTATTTTTCTTTTACTTTTTCCTATAAAATTAAGCTTCGATTCAAATAAATTAAAAAATTCATATTTAATTTGTTTAGTTATTGGAATGGGGTACACTCCAACGTACCGCGAGGCCAACATACCGCAGAGCTATAACTTCGTTCAAACTGGCCGAATCCGGATGCATCTCGACGAGATAAATCGAACCATATCAGGGCGTCACGGATTCGACCAGTTTGAACGAAGTTATAGCTTTGCGGTATATGTCTGAAATACATATACATATTTTCTAAATTTAAAAATTGTTTTCTTTAAGTTAAAAAAATGTTTTCTCTTAATTTAATTAAAATATTTATTCTTTTAACAATATTTTTTAATTATGGAATTTTTGGTTGTACTCACAATGGAATTACTTATCATAATGGAGATGAATGGGTAATTAATGAAAAAAAGGATTTTTTGATAATTTATTTTTAAAAATTCTTTTAGTTGGAAAAAAATGCTTTTGTGGTTAGATGTACTGTAAGTTAACTGAAATTTTTTTGAAGAAAATTAATTTAAAAAAAAGGTAAATTCTGATACTTCTTGGCGGTCTGAGGTTGTTGCTTGTGTATTGCCTGATTCTCGTCGAGTTCCTATACACACATCGCTTGAGGTAAAATTTGAGGAATTTAAGGGGGTAACTAAAGGAAAAGCAAATCACTCACTCCTAGGGTTGGGGGTTTCGAGTCGGGCCGACGTTCGAGTCGTTTTATCGGGCCGGAATAACCGAGCTTTTCGGGTCAAAATTCGATGCCTGACTTGACCTTTCGGGCCGGGCCCCCAACCCTACTCATCCCTGCGATTCTTTCTTTAAATAGATTTAACCCTTTATGAAAAAGCAAAAGTTCTCTGAGGAACTTTCTACAAAAGTGTTGACATTAAAAGATCTCTTAGCAAAATCTCGAAAAACACACAGAAAACTATCCTACATAACATAAAAATTAATTTTCTTTTTTTTAAATTAGGACGGCAACTCTGTTTGGAAATGTGAAAAGAATGACGAAGACCGAAGTGTTCAATTAAGACAAGCTCCAAGCAATAATGCTTTGTGTAATGGAATACGTCCTGTTGGAAGTGTTTGGCAAGAAAAATCATTTGAATTAGAATGTTTGCCAGGTGGATATACTCGTTTACGTGCTTGTGTAACCGAAGAAGGAAATAGAGTTAAAATAAATACAACAAGCACTGTTAATGGTTTTTGTTTTGAGATTAACAAAAAAATTATTTTTTTTAAAAGGTTTTGATGTTGAATGTATTCAATTTTATAATGGAACTATTATTTTCCGTGGAGCTAAGCCTGGTAAATGAATAAATTTTTTATTAAAATTAATTTGGATTTAATTGGAATGGAAATATTTTTTGTAATTCCTTCTCTAATTTCATTAGATTTATTTTGTAAAAACTACAAAAAATTTTAGAAGGGGATTAAGCAGGCAAATAATTTAATTAATATCCATGTGTCTCGTTATAATCAGGGTGGCCCTTTTGCCCTATTTACGGGGCATTTGCCGTATTTTCTACCTTTTCGTCCCATTTTTTTATTTGCAATATTTTTGCCCTATTTTTGAGTGACTGCGCCCTATTTTAGTTTGGAAGGGGCCACCCTGGAATACATAAGGATTTACTTACACCTTCTAAAAATTATTATCAAGAAGAAAATGATCCAAATAAGAGAAAATATTTATTTTTAAAATGGAGGGGGAGGAGAAAGAACTTAATAATTATTATCAGAGATGGAAATTAAATCCAAATATATTCACATAATTTAAAAAGCAGTTCCCCGTGTCGAGCCAATAGTATTCCCTCAACCAATACGTTCACAATATGGAGCAGCCGGCCCAATTATAACCCCAGCAGTTAGATGTACAGACGAAAGTGGACGCCCTCGGCATGTTGGCGATTATTGGACAGAAAATCATCGTTTCAACAAAACTTGTAGAGAAGGAGGGGCCGTGGAAGTTGTTAATTGTGTTTCGAAGGATGGATATAGAGTTCCATTAAATGTAAAAATATTTACCTAAATATATTATAAGTAAAGGATTTAACAGAATTGTAAGACCCAGGCTTGGTAATGGATACAGATAAGTTAAAAATGCCTGCGGATATCCGTCTAAATCCGCCGCAAACATCCAGATACGGATACCAAAATCCATGTCCATTACCAAGTCTGGTAAGACCCGTCGTTTTCTGAAAATTTTTTGAGCTAAGGAATTCCGGAAAAATTCCTTAGCTGTATGGATTCCAGCAATGGACTCTCTACCCGTGTCTTTTATTTTTTAATTTCTAAACTTTAATCAAGTGTGAACTCTTTTGTTTGACACTCCAAGGGAACCATTATATCCCGAATGATTTTCTTATAATTTAAAAACTTTAATTTTAAGGGGCAAATGATTCTGAATGGTTACAAATTTGAGTAAGTTTCCTTATTACTTATTTTTTATTTTAAAAAATTTAATTTTTTAATATTTTCTAGATGTGTATTGACACCACATGGGACAATTAAATTCTCTTCTTTGCCAGTAACAGAAGGCTAAATGAAAAAAAAGAAAATTAAAATTATTTTTTTCTGAAACAAAAAATTTTATTTTTGAAAATTAAAAATGTTTTTCTAAATTTAAAATAAAGAGAAAAAAAAATAATTAAGAAAATCAAAATATAATTCAGATTAAAACGCAACATAATTACAATTTCCCTTTTTATTTAAAAAATTCAAATTTTATTTAATTACAAAATTAAGGCTATAAAAATTAATTTAAAAATAAAGTTTTCAAGTTTTACTTAATTGAGGTAAATTATTTATAAAATATTTTTTTAAATAAATTTCCCCCAAGAAAAGAAGAGGGGAATTAGATTTTGGAGAAATTGAAGGAAAGAGCCTCAAATTAAACAAAGTTTACAAATAAAAACACAAATAAAAATTAAATAATAATGAAGGGAAAAAAAACAAATGAAGGGAAAATTAATTCGATTTTTGTATATTATTTTGTTGTTTTTTAAAAAGAACCACAGAATTTCCTATAAATTTTTAGAAAAAAATAATTTAAAAAAATAAAAATTTATTTACTTGAAATACTATTTTGGCCACCAAAAGGGACAACAGCGGTAGTGGATGAAATTAAGTTGGAGGGAGAAATAAATGGAAATTGTTTAAGAAATGCTCGACTATATTCGGTACTTTAATTTAAACAAAAATTAGAAAAATAAAATAATGTGTCCCGCGTGGGGTTTTGCGGGATACCGCTCCCGCAATCCCGCACTTTTTCCGATTTGCGGGGTTTTGCGGGAGTTGGGATTTTGCGGGATTTATCCCGCGGGATCCCGTCCCGCAAAGATTTGTTTAAAAAATTTTATCCCGAGGGATCCCGCAAACGCGATTTTGCCGACCTCTAATTTTTAGATCCAAAAATTCGTTGAACATTATTTGTTTTTTTGGTCTATTAAAAATTTTAAAGAGCTAATAATTAACGTTTTAAGAAAGAATCTGTAGTTGATGGGTTAAACACATTTTCTTCATTTATTTCAAAATTTTACCTAAAAATATATAAAGAAACAGGAGATAAACTCATAGCAATATAAGGCATAATTGTTGTTATATTAATTATATACCAAGAATTTAAAGTTTTGACTGCTCCAATAATTAAACGAATTGAATAATTAGATATCCACCCACAAATTTCCATTAATAAAATAACAGAAAGGGATTTAAATACATTTACTAGAAATGAAAAGAGATTATAATTTTATTTAAAATTTTAGGTAGAGAATAGAAATCGAGATTTTTGAAAAGCCTGGACCTGTTCTTGGACTCTGGAGTTTGATTCTTGACCTGGACTGGATCCTGGGCCTGTAGTCCAGGAAAAACCCCAGGAAGGGTAAAAAATGCCTGGACCTGGACTCTGGGTACAGGAAAAACCCCAGGCCTCGGTCCAGGTCCAGCTCGATCTCTAGTAGAGAATATGTATTTCCTTACTTTGTGTTTTCTTCATTGAACCTTTAAACATTAAAATAACCCAAACAAAAATATAACAAAAAACCTAAATTAATTAAATTTTTTATAAAGGTTTTTTGAATCTTACAGAAGATATATTAACTAAAAGCTGCATAATTGTTACCCAAGTAGCATCTTTTTGCATTGGATCTCTAATAAATTTTATATTTAAAAAATTTAAAAATAAATAAATTATTTACATTACAGTGCACATAACTGGTCTAAAAATTAAAATATATTTTTTAAATTAATTTTAAATTAAATGCAAACATTTCTGGATTCGATAAAGAAATATTAATTCCAGATATAGGCACAATCAAAGCATATAAACAACAAAAAATAATTATTATATTTAAATAATTCTTTTTATCATGTACCATATACCTTAATTAATTAATTAACTAATTATTCGGAATCTCCCCAAATATTGACACCCAAAATATCGTTTTTTAAAGTTCATAATTATGTATTCCAATGATCGGGAATGATGTTCCAAAATCGGGGAATTGTGTTTTCGATCGGACTGACCATAGCGACCGATCAAGATTCTCCTTGGAGATCGATCACCCTTCTTTGATTGGACATATTGATCAGGATTGATGTTTGTTCCATTTTGGAACAATTTCCCTATGTTAAAAAGACTTCCTCGTCCTTGGAATACATAATTATGAAGTTTAAAAATTTCGATATTTAGGGTGTCGATATTTTGGGGTGGAGTCAAAATATATTCGAATATTTAATTTTACCATATTGGAAAAGCAACACTTAAAAGGCGATCAACACCAATTGAAAATGCTATTCCATTAGTAAAAATTGTACAAAAGAGAGGAATTGCCTTAAAATTTTGTTTAAAATATAATTATATTTATAATCAAAATTATAAAAGTTCGATCGAAAATTATAGAAGTTCGATTCACCGGAACCGGAATTTCCGGTGAAACTCTAATATCTAGAAAATAAATCAAGATTTCGCTCAAATAATTAAATTTGTTTTAAAACCCCTCCAAAGTTTTCCTGAATTATAAGATTATTTGATAAGTTACCAGTCAAAAGACTGCGGATTTGTTTTTATTACGGAAATTATCTCGTAAATAACTTAATTTGCAGGTTAAATATTTAAAAGTCCAATCACCAACAAAAAAATTAAAAAATATACTTAATTACCTGAATAATTCCACAATATCCAAGTGGAATAAAATTTGTGCCACTTACTACAACAGCTAAAGTAACAAAACTGCTACTTTCTTGAATACAGATGGAAAAAGAATTTAAAGCTATTTGTATATTACAAGCTCCTCGTAAATTTCTTTAAAAAATATTTTTTAAAATTAATTATAATTATATGTACTTTGTTTTCCAAGTAATGTAAACAAGATCCCCATTTAAAATAATACCCAATAGACAAACAAAAGCTTTACAAGAAATAAGCAAAACTAAAGGGACACAAAAACCTGCATCTTTAAATGCAGCATAAGCCTTAAATTAAATTTAAGTAATAATAATTTAAAAGTTTCTTTTCGATTGGAAATGTACGTAATGTAAGGAAGAGAAAGAGGCTAGCATTTAAAACGCTCACTAGGCGGGGGATTTAAGATCTAATGAAAAAGAAGGTGAAAGCAGCGTCCCGGTAGCTCAGTTTTAGAGCACCTGTACTTGGTGGGCGAAAGCGCCTAACAATAACTGCCAGGATGTCTCAGGATCGAAGCCTGCCCGGGATTAAGCTTTTACCTCGCTCTTACTGTAATTAAATATATTTCCCCCAATTCTCCAGAAAATTTTTCGATTTTTAAAAATTTTCTAGAAAATAATAATTACATTTATTCCAAAAATAATTTATTATTTTAATATTTCCCAAAAGGAAATTTTAAATTTCCTTACCGGATCTGTAGTAATATTTGACATTATAAAATTTTATAAAATTTTGCAACAAATTTTGTAATACTTAAGGGTTAATTCGAACTATTCTTTTCCCACTTTTTAATAATAAATTCTATAAATATAATTTTTCATAATAAAAATTAATTTTTTATCAAATTAAAAAATTATATGAAAATTAAAAAAAGGAAAAACATGTGGAGGGATTTTAGTGTAGTGGTGACACTACTATAAAAGCCATGTAAGCGTCAGTCTAATTGCTCTAATTAATTGGTCTAACTCTATCTAATCAGTCTAACTATCCCGGCTAGTCCCTGATCTCCTTCGCTGTTCCAGCTCAATCCCTTCGCCTACACATTGTTATTTCTCTACTGATAAATTGTTATTCATTGCACGTCAACTTTAGTTAAATCTCGGACGACCCTCGGACATAACAAAGATTTTAGTAGGAATAATTACCTAGTAAATGTAGAAGATATTTCTTTTTTATAAAAAACAATTTTAATTTTTTTAATGTCTTTAAAAACGGAAAAGGGATTTTAAATGAATAATGAACTCGATGAGGAATTAATTTCTAAAGTTTATATATGTATATTTGTATATAATAATGAATAAAAAAAGACTAAAAAATTAAATTTTGTATTTTTAAGTTTACTAGAAAAATATTAAATTTAAAAGAATTAAAATAAATTTTTAAAATTAATTTCTTTGTTTAAGAAGATTGGAAATTAATAACTTATTTTAGTAATATATTTAATGAAATCAAGTGCCTAGTTTTAGGAAAAATAACACAAAAACTTTTTAATAATAAAAAAATTAATTAAAAAATATTTTACACTAATTATAAATACACGCTACATTTAATTTATAAATTTAATGAGAAATTTATTTTTAATTTTTATATTAATAAGTTTAAAAATATTAGACACATTTTCACGCAATCATTTTTTAATTTTTGTTGCTAAATGGCAACGGAAATACAATTCTCTAAAATTTTTTGTTAATTTATTTATAATTTTTAATTAAAATTTATTTAATAAAGTCTCAAAAATATATTTTTTTTAAATGATAGTTTTTATTTTTTAATTTCTTAACAGACTTTAATTCTTCGTTTTATTTAAATTTAAATTAAAAAACAAATTTGGAAGTAATAAAATAAAGGACTTTTTTAAATTAATTTTTTATTTGTTATAAACCAAAAAATCATATTTTCTAGGGAACAAAAGGTTGTCGTTCTCCAATTTTTTGTTGTAAAAATATTAATTGGAGATAGGGCCGTGACGGATTCTTCATTAAAAAAATCTTGATTATTAAAGTTTTTTTTTGAGAAATCTAAACCGATTTTTGAGAATTTGGTAAAAAAATATTATTTTTTAAAAGACAAAAAGATTAATAATAATTTAAATTTAAAATATTGGTTGGATCACAGGGAAATACATAAATAAAAGAGAATTTTAATTGACAGAATTAAATTCAAAAATTGTTTTTCACAAAGTATAATAAAATTCTTCAATTTGCGGAACAATTTTCCAATTAACAGCCCCCAATTCCACCATTAATAAAATCATTTTTCGTGCCCAACATTCTGTTGAATTTAAAGAAGCATTGCGTAATAAAATACGTAATTGGTCTGTTTGGAGTGGATAGTCTAATTCTAAACGGTGGCCAATAATCATTAAAAGAGATAAAATTGATTCCAACTTTAAAAAAAAATAAAAATTAATTTAAAAAATTTTTAAAATAGAAGAGGTGAAAGTTAAATGGAATAACTTTCTTATAGTAAAATTAAGAAAATAAAAAGTAAAAAAAATATAAAATTTAAATTTAGAATAATTAAAAATTGATTAAAATTTAATCTTATTGAAAAAAATGTCATTATTAAAGAGCAGGGTTGCCAAAATGGAACGACTCGGGCCGAAAGATTGAGTTGGGCCTAAGATATTTGGCCTGAAAGTAACTCGTACAGCCCGACTCGATAAAGTTAGGCTCGAAAAAAATGTCTCGACCGTCGGCCCGACTCGAAAACGGCAACCCTATTTTAAAGAATATAAATTGGAGACCGAATTAGGAGAGCCGTACAAGAATCGAGATCTTGTCTCAGTCCGATCTCTAGTCTAAATTAGCTTAATTATGACCTAATAAAGTCTCATATTTTAATAAAAAAATCTTGAAAAAAAACGGAAATTACTTTAATTTTCCATATAATTTACCTCAAAAATCTTCAAAGAATTCAAAACAGGCTCATTAAGTAAATAATCAAAAATATTAAAAATTAAAATAATTATTCCTTCTAAAAATAAATATTTTAAATATAATTTTAAATTAAAAAAACCTTCATTACAAATTTGTGTCAATTCAAAAATTAAAAAAATAAAATTTTGCCAAACCAAAAAATAAAAAGAATTTTCTTCTTCTTTAATTTCTTCTAAATTCCTTAATTTATTTCTACATTCAAAATAACGTTCAAAAGACAAAATAATTCCATTATAAAAATATTTAAATATTGGAGTATTAAATAATGAAGTAAATAACTTTAAAAAATAATTATTATTTTTTAATTAAAAATTAAACTGAGTTTTTAATTGAAATTTTCTAAATGAAAAATAAATAGGTATCCCTTCTATGTATTGGTCAAACAAATATTTTCTGTTTTTTATTAGTTTTAAATTTCAAAAATTAATTTTTAATAGTCCAACACATCCTTTTTTTATTAAATTCTTATTTTAAAAGTAAAATATAAAATTAATTTAAAAAAATTTTTCCCAAAAATTAGTTAAAAATTTAATTTATGTTAGAAGAAAAAAAATATAATTAAAAAATATTTTTAACGAAAGTATTTAAAAATGAAAAAATTATTTCAATTTTTTTGAACCATAAAAACTTAATGAATTTGGTACTCATTTCCTCCCCCCCCCCCCAGTCCATGTTTTAGTTAAAATACGAAATGGTCTTTTTTAAGCAGTCTTAAAAAATTTAAAAATAAAACCTTTGAGAGAATTCCTTTTTTCAAATATTTTTTATTATTTTTACAGCAATCTTCCACCAAATATTTAACAATAAAAATTCCAACATATTTAGCCATTTCAGGAGAACAATTTAAAATTAAAAATTCCCCAAATTCATTTCCATTTTGTAAATCTTTTGACAAAAATTGACGCAAATTATTAATTAAATCGTCAAAATCCATTGAAGGTTTTGCTTTTTCTTCAGATTTTTTAATTAATTGCTTTTGTTGTTTTTGTGGTATTTCTGTTGATTTTGAAGGAATTTTAAGTGGAGATTTTTGTAATTGACTAGTTTCTTCTTTATTTTCTAAAAAAATTTATTTTGGGATTTTTTGTCCAAAAAATTATTTTTAATTTTAAACCTTCATTTGACGATAAAAGTGAAATTTCTTTTTGAATATTTTCTTCAGAAAATTCAGATTGCACATCTTGGACTTTTCTAGAAAGAGACTTTATTCCACGAAGAACTAAAAAAATAAAAAATATTTTAATTAATTAAAATTTAATTAAACTTGGAGGTTTATATAATTCTAATGAAGGCCTGGAAGAACGGGACCTTGAAATTAATTTTTTCTCATTTTCACTCATTCTTGACTACTAAATAAATTATTAAAAAAATTAAGACGTAAAGGAAAAATTTTTTTAAATTAATTTTTTTATCTGGGACATGTCCAAGTAGGCGCGCGGCCATAACGGCGCAAAGCCATAACTTGCTGGAAAAGCTTTGGCCCTTATCAATTTTGATACCAACCTCTTTAGCTCGATGAGAGGAATCGTTTAATACTAAATTTGGAAAGATTCGGAAATCTTAAAGCAAGTTATGGCTCGGCGACATTATGGCCGCGCGACATTTCGGGCGTGTCCCATTTTATCTCTCCACGACCAACCAGCCGCGACAAAACGGGCTGTTTAATTAATTGACATATTTTAAAAAATTTTTTAATTTTTGATTGATTTTCTTTTATTTTTTTATTTTAAAGAATGTTTTACTTTATTCCATAAAATACAGTCGTGGAAAAAAGTATGGAAGCGCTAGAAATTTTTTTCTTAATTCTTAATTTTTCATTCAAAAAATACGTTCTATATACCAATCGAAAGCTCTATTCGTATCTCAGTTGACATGTTTCTGCATTTTTCATGAAAATGAAAATTGACCGAGATAATCCGGATCTACCGGATATACCAAATCCCACTTTTTCGGAAAAATTTTTCGGAACAAATTTAACAAACCCAAATGATAAAGCATATTTTTGTGAGCATTTTCCACAAAACCGCTTAGAAATATCATTTTCCGGAGCAGAGATATGATTTTTTGAAAATGGCATTTTTCGCTTAAAAATTGAATTTTTTGCAAAAATAGACAAAAAATGCCATTTTCAAAAAATCATATCTCTGCTCCGGAAAAAGATATTTCTAAGAGGTTTTGTGGAAAATACTAAGAAAAATATGCTTTATCAAATGGATTTGTTAAATTTGTTCCGAAAAATTTTTCCGAAAAAGTGGGATTTGGTATATCCGGTAGATCCGGATTATCTCGGCCAATTTTCATTTTCATAAAAAATGCAGAAACATGTTAACTGAGATACGAATAGAGCTTTCGATTGGTATATAGAACGTATTTTTTGAATGAAAAATTAAGAATTAAGAAAAAATTTTCTAGCGCTTCCATACTTTTTTCCACGACTGTATATTAAAAAGCGATAACCAAAAAGTAAAAAGCTAAAGAAGAATGACAACAAATAAAAAAGAAGAGAATATTAATTTCTTTTAATTTCTTCAGATTCTATTAAATGGGTGCTGGACTTTTAGCATCTCAATTAATTTTAGTTTTATGTTTTACTGTTTATACATTAAATAATTATGCACATTTGAGAAGGCAAAGGGCAATTATTGCTTTACCTACTTTTTTTGGTAAAAAAATTTTTCTTGAAAATGACTGATATTTTATTTTTTAGGATGGTTTTTCTCTTTCCTTATTATTATTGTCCTTCCATTGGATGTTGCAATTGTGAGTAATTGATTTCTTTTTTTATTTTTAAATTTATTTTTTAAAAAGACTTTTTACAAAAAATGTACAACAGAAGAATTTTCTTTAAAAATTGGTGAAGAAAAGAATTTGTCTGGGGAAATTTCTATTGGCTCTCATGAGAATAATGGAATTAATTCAAATTCAACTTCATTTTGTGAAGAACCTGGAGGATTTATTGAAGTATTTTTTGAAATTAAAAATTAGAATTTTTAATTTAATTTATGTTAATGGTGTCCGGGCCCCCTTTTTTCTTCCCAAGTTCTTACCTATTTAGAGAATAGTCAGACTTCTTCCTTTCTTCCATCCCCCTTTCCTGTCATTATTTTGCTTACAAACAAGGGAAAGGAAAGAACTAACACGGAGAGGTTCTTCTTGAACAACATCCTTCATGATTGTTTGTAGGCAAAATATATAAAGGCAATTGGGATGGGAGAAAGGAAGTCTGACCATTCTCTAAATATATATGTAGATAAGAACTTGGGGAGAAAAAAGAGGGCCCGGTAACTACACTATTATTAATTTTTAGGATAAACTTCTTTTTCGACTTTGGCGAATAGTTTATTGGGGTTCTCAATTTCTTACATGGTTTTCTTTTAATTTATGTTTATTTTCCAAAATACTTTTCAGGATTTTATTACCAATGATTCAAAGCTATGCTAAAGCTGGAGAATTTAATGTTAAAGGCCGTCTTAAATTTGCTCTACACAGCAATGCTGTTTACTATGGAATTTATTTTTCATTATTGACTTTTCTGCTAATTTACATTGTTTCTAAAGGAGTTAGCTTAAATTTGTAAGGATTTTTCAAATTTATTGGAATTCTTTTAAGGAGTGGCTAATTTCATTTTTCTTTTAATGAGATGTGATTTTAGTGTGTTGTTTCAGGCCCGTATCCAGGGGTAGGGGTCTCCCTCCCCCCTCCCCGAAATGGGGAAAAGAAAAAATTTGGGGAGGGGATTGGGCCAAAAAGTGATTTTTTCGTATACGATCTTCGAAATTTTTTTAATAATTTCGAACTTTCTTCTTGTTTGAGTTTTACTTGATCTCCATTTAAAAATATATTCCTTATTTCAGCGCTAGTCTCAAAATTTTGGTTGTTTCCGCCTCCAACACTTGGGGAATTTTCTTGTTGGTTGTTCTCCTTGGATATGGTTTAATTGAAGTTCCAAGATTGTTCTGGAGAATGGGAATTCCAGGTTATTAATTTAAACATTAATTTTTGAATAAAATTTTACTATAAAACAGGCTATCGATTACGGCGAACATATTTTGAGATTGACAAACTTTCTTCGGAGAAAAATGAATCTGAGGATGCGTTACTTGAGGCTTACAAGTTTTGACTAATTTTTAAAATTAATTTTTTATATTTTATTTTTAGTGAAACTAAATACGCCTTAAATTTGTTAAAAAATTCCCGAGGGGAGGCCCGCGAGAAAATTCGTCAAATTTCTGCAAAATTTTCAAATGACATTACTAATGGAATTTTGACAAGTTTGAGGGAGGATAATGAAGGAAATAATTCTTTTACTGGTCGATCTAGAAAAGCACAACCAGATTTGGAAACTGTCAGTCAAAATGCTTATTTGGTTAGTTCACTTATTTTTTGAGGGGTTTCTTGTCTTTCTCTGATTGAAATTCTTAACTATTTTTCACCCAGAACATTTTTAATCGAATATTTCCAGGTAAAGTTGCACAGAAAAGTAATTAGAGCTGTTCAAACTTTCCATCGTTGCCAAATTCAATGGAATTCTCTTTTGGAACAAAGTTTTTATTTGGAAGATGTTGAACTTTCTGAGCGTATGGGAAAGATACCAAAACAATGGACTACTTTTACTGAAAAGAATAAACCTAAATTTTATGGACAGTCGAGATTTGGAGGTTTTGAATTACCTGCAATACCTGAGAAAATTCAATTCTTTTGGCATTGCAAAATTAAACAACAACTTTTTAAAGTATTTATTTTTTAAATTTTATTTTTCTCGACTTGTGTATTTTATTCGTCCTTTTTAAATTATTTTCCAAAATTTAATTTTTGTTTTTCAGTTTTTAGCCATTCTATTCACCTTCATGACAACTTTAATTCTTTGGAGTGAATGTACATTTTTTATTTCTAGTCCACAACTTTCATTGGCTGCTTTATTACTTCATGGTCTAGCTAAAAATTATCATTATAAATTCATTCAGGTTTCTTTTAAATTTATTAAAAATTTAATTTAAAAAAATTTAAGATCTGTGCCATTGCAATGATTTTATATTTGTGTATTTGTGCTTATTATACAATTTTTCAATTGAGAATATATCGATATTATAGATTGGATTCTAATGGAATGACTGATGAAAATTCTCTTATATTTTCTGCAATGTATTTTTTAATTAACAAAAAATTATTTTCTATCAAATTTAGGCTTATTTGTCGACTAACCGCTCCAATGTGTTTAAATTTTCTTGGAATGATTCATTTGGATTCTGCTGTAACAAAAATGAGAGATGCCAAAATTGAAACACAATTTACTGGGGTAAATAAATATTTTAATAAAATTAAAAATTTTGTTTTTGTAGTTGATGGGACATCTTGAAATCATTCCTTGGGTTAGTTTATTTTTTAATTATTAAAAAAAGAATTACAAGAAAATTTTCTTTTAAAGTTAGCTGAAGGAATAAATATTTATTTACCTATTGTTATTGTACTTTTGTGTTTTGCTAATTGGTTTCGGTTAGTTTTAAACGAATATTTGAGTGGTATTTTTTAGTAATCGGAAAATTTTGGTGTAATTTAGAAATAAAATTTCAAACTTAGATTTTTAACCGACTCATATTTCTATTCAAAAATCTCTTCTTTTTTATTTCAGTTTGGGAACTCATTTTCTTCATTATTTGGGAATTGATCAATTTTTGGAAGATGATTTAATGACAACAGAAATGGTTAATAGTGGAAGAGCACTTGTATCACTTGAAAGAAATAGATTAGTACGTGCTGCTAATCGTGAAGAAAGGAACAAGGCTTGGAAAAGTTCAAAAAGTGGAGGGATTGAATTTGATAATATTCAACAAACAATTGTGGATATTCCTGATGGGAATCAATTAATTGATACAAATGGAGTAAGGGAAATTTTTTTTTGATTAAAATTTTGTGAAACAAAATTTTATTTTAGTC